AATAGTTCTGTTTCAGCCAAAGCAGGACAAGTATATAGCATGCTATGCTGTGATAGCAGCATGCTTGGATCTCTTACAAAGGAAAGCAGAAATGGAATCAGAAGTTTCTCAGCTGTCTGTAGCCCTACACCAGATGAAAATTTGTGCCATCCTTATCTCAAGTATTCTTGCAGATCATTTGAAAACAAGAGCATGTCATCGTATTGTCATCTTGTCTCTACTGACCATTGTTATGGGGTGGTGGGTTTTAAAAAAAAATTATATGGAGATCATATTTTCAGAGAAAGAGCTAGATCTCTTCTGCATATTCTGATTGATGCTGTCCTAGAAAACTGTAGAAATGGTAATTAGGTACTTTTTACTTTCTGAAGCCTTTCATATATGTGAGAAGTTTCTTCACTGGTCTAATCTTGTGTGGGCAATCTTGTTTTCCAAGATGTATTTGAAGACCTTTTCTGGCCTAAATTTTTTGTATGTTAATGAGTAGTCCATCAAGTTTTAAGGTAATCTACTCTAAAGCCAGACTACATCAAGAGCTTACATACCTATAAAGTCTACAGTGTAGACTCTGAACAGGATTCCTCTTGGTAGTGATCATAAATGTTTCAGAGCTCATGGCTAAATCTCAACAGTAGCAAAGTGGCATCTTGATCCTGTTTCAGCTTGGAGTCTGAGGAATACATCACAAATACAAAATTGCTATAGAACTTTCTGGAGTTAATAATTCTTTATGGATTTGAAAGATTTGTTGCAGTTTTTGACAAGTGTCCCTTTTCCTTTATTGATACAGCATCCATCTTTTAAAAGTGGGTACTGCACTGTTAACTATTTGAGACAATAGCAGGAATTAGGGGGATTTGACTGATCAGAAAGCACTTTAGTAAGGCTACTATCCTATTTTAACATTGACTAAATTATTTTTGATCCAGAATTTATGTCAGCTGGGGAAAGACATTTCTCTTCATTTTATATTTTGATAAGTTATTTTTTGGTTTGGATTATATTTATAGAACACACATTTCATTTTCTTCATCTGTCAGCTGATTGATACAGAATAATTCATTTTTAGCTTTTCCTTCTCTTAACTGCTCCCACATGCTCCCAAAAAACTACAAAAATAAAACCTAACCGAAAAAAGGCAGGGACCATGGTAGGAGGAAGTGGACAGAGGAAGAGTTGAGAGTATGTGCACTTGCATTCCCAGTTAATTATTTTGTTGGTGACAGAATGCATCACAGTTGCAACCTCTTGAATGTATTATAGAAAAACAACTCTTCAAAGCGAGAGCGTGTTGCATTGCTGCAATATTCTTTAGGAGTGCTTGTTGCTTTGTTGATCCTTAAAATATGGTCAGTATTGACATGGCTACTTACCGTGTGAATAAGATATATTTTTAATGGTCAAAATTGGGAAACTTCTGTTAACGGTTCCAACTACTTATAAAAGATCATCATGCGCTTTGCCTATTTTGTTTTCAAAGGCTGTGGACCTTTCTGTTGATGAATCTAGTCTCACAGGTGAGACAGCTCCTTGCTCTAAATCTACAGCTCCTCAGCCAGCAGCAACCAATGGAGACCTTACTTCTAGGAGCAACATTGCTTTCATGGGAACATTGGTCAGATGTGGAAAAGCAAAGGTAAAATCATTATTGATAGGGAAGAGTATTTTCCATGTTTCAACTATTTGAAGGCAGTTCTTATTTTTATGGTTCACCTATCAATTGAGAAATACACTTTAACGACTACATATATTTTGAGTTTTCTGAAACGAATAGAAATGGAATAGAAATAGAAATTTTTACTGGAAATATGGAAGACTTTAGCGTCATACACTGCAGAGTTTTGAGAAAAAACTGGTTTTGAGAAAAAACTCCTGGTGTTTTTTCAGATACCTGTTTAAAAGGAAAACTACTCTAGGGCCAGGAGAGCTCAAATTTATAAGGAGCAGATCACGTGAATCTCTTCTGTCTACAATGTGGTATTTTGCTTCCAGTTTTTGAAAATTCATGTGTTTGAAAATCTGTAACTGAAAATACAGTTGTGGCTGGCATTAGATAGGCATTACCTTATTTGAGTTTTGTTACTGGTAGTTACTGAATACTTCAGCAGTGCAAAGAATAGCAATTTGTTTCACAGACTCAAAATGTTTTTTAGCGAAAATGTTCCCTACTTGTGCCAAGAATTGATTTTTTTAATAAACAAAGCTAACAAAATCATAGCAGGCTAAATGGCATTTGCCCACTATTTGAGTCAAAACTGTCAGGAGGAACCACTAACATTAAACTTCAGATTTGAATTAACTTTGTTGTTGTTTTTTTAGGGGATAGTTATTGGAACAGGAGAAAACTCTGAATTTGGGGAGGTTTTCAAAATGATGCAGGCAGAAGAGGTAAGAGTGAATATTTAGAAGGAAAGACATAAATTTTGTAAGTGTATATTTCATTTGTTAAAACTTTGAATTTATTCCATAGGAACTTAGTTAAACTTAATTACAGTGTTTTTAATATTTTTCCTGTAGTGAAACAAATCTTAGCTCTTGAACATGAATGTAGTAGTAGAATTCACTGCAAGAAAATATCCATAGCTGACCTAAATATTAACTGTGAAAATAATACTCTGAACCTGTTCAGTGGAACAAATCTCACTGCAATTTGTGGAAGCTATTTTTTTCAAGTGGAACTACATTTGTGCAAAAGGAATTTGTATGACAGATTTGTGTGCTGCATGCACAGGACTATGTTTTCCCTTTATTAGCAGAATACTTTGGGGTTATGCATATGTCTCCTGCTGCTTCATAAGCTCCCTTTGACTCTTGTATATCAAACTCCCACAGTGTTTTTTCTTTATTGCAGCACATTGATCCACATGGGAATTCAGACTCTTGAGTGCTTTGTGTATCTAGGGCCTTCTAGATTCTTCTCTGGCTGCCTGACCAATGTAGGATCATAAGGAGACAGCCTATCTCCAGCTGTCAGGACGTGATCGGGCATAGTATCAGCAGCGCTTTTTTTTTCCAGATACACTTCTGAAATCTGCCAAAACAAAGCAACTAAGGGCATTAAATGTATCAGCCAGGAGTGCATCACTGACTTTATGTTGTTAGCTGCAGTGCCTAACTACACCTTTCAAGGGAATACTGCTGTCCAGCCACCAAAGAGGAATCCACTTTAATACACATGAAGAAAATATGATCATCTGTTCAGTAGTATGTAATTTGTATTGCAAGAAGCGTAATTATTAACGGGAGAAAAAAAACACACCCAAGAAAAAGCCCTGTGTGAGCATTCTACACCAACAACGTTCTCAAATACCAGGGTATTGTAGGGTTATTTTTGAGGTTTATATTACAGTAAACTCATTTTAAAAGTAAATTTTGAAAGTAAGAGTGAAGCAAACTTGGTACCAGCTTTCTCATATAAAGTGTATGCACTTTTTTCATAACTTGTTAAACAAAGATGATTTTACAGTGACTTTATCTTCCTTTTTTTTGCCACACTTTCTGTACTGTAGTCCACCATATGTTACTATTAAAAAAACCAAACTTACTGGCATCCAAGGTAAAAATCCACTTTCCTGTTTTGTTTTATTTTATTTATTTATAAATTAAATTTTTTCCTTTGTGTCCCCTCCTTCCTATGCCTTTTTTTTGGCACTAGATTATCTAAATATTTCCATGGTTTTCTATTTGGCTAAATTGAATTTTCTGCAGACGATGAACAAATTCCTTTTGAGATATAATTGAGCTCTAATGCCTCTGTCTTGAAAGTCGGTTTTATTCTTGCTATCGGGAACTTTTTGTTCTTGGAAGTGCAGTGGCTTTTAGTCAGCATAATTTTTTTTTGTTTGTTAATGAAATCTTTGATATGACCTTTTGTATTAGATTTGCTGTAGACATCACAAAGCTCTCAAAGAATATGTCTAACAAATTTTTCATTTCGTTGAAGTGTTCTTGAATCTTCTTGAATTCTACACAAGAATGGAACATAGTAGTCTGTTTTCACAAAGTAAACATATGGAAACGTGGGGTATAACTGCATCTTCTTTGCAGACAGTGTCTTGAAATTTACACATCTGAAGTAATATGTGATACAGTTCATGCTTTTTAACCTGTGCTTGTTAACTGCTGCATGTTTATCATTCATCAAGGCTCCAAAGACACCTCTGCAGAAGAGCATGGATCTCTTGGGAAAACAGCTTTCCTTGTATTCCTTTGGTATAATAGGTAAGAGAATTTATGGAAAAGAATTGTGAATTATAATGTAACTGAAACTAATGTGTAGGCTTGGGAAAACGGAAGGCTTGATCTCTTTTTAAAAATATTTTGGCTCCTAATTTTATTGGTCACTTTGAGTTCATGAGACTAATCATCTGAAGGTTACTAATGTTTTATAACTTTCATCATAAGGGTGTTTACTTGCTTCTTCCTGCAAACATACTTTTCTGACTGGCTTTTTGTCCTCTAAATGCTTCCATTTAAATTGCAATGTGTCTTATATTCTGATTCAAGGTGTGCGTAAATGAGTACCTCACTGTTGGTACGATTGGGCAACTTGACTGACAGAAATGTTCTTCACCTTTGCAATACTAATGGAATCATGCTGCAACAGTGAAAGAAATAATAGATTTTTATAGCTAGCACAATGATATGCTTGGTTTTGGTTATTTGAGATCTTTTTCTTGTCCCTGTGAGGCTACAGCACATGTTGATTTTATATTTATCCTGACGACTGTTTTCTTTATAGGAGTTATTATGCTGGTTGGCTGGCTGCAAGGAAAGCATATCCTTGATATGTTCACAATTGGTGTGAGGTAAGATTTTTGTTTTTAAATAGTGTAGATCATGCATTACAACAAGTTTCTGAAAGCTAGTGATGCGTATTATGCTTGCACACAGACTCTGCTTTCAAGTTCACATAAGTAATTCAAAATGAAAACAGACTGTACTGTTAAAAAGCGTATTCACACTCATTTTTAATGATACAGTGTGTTCTTGTCAATCTCTGTGCATTTGTATGGTGATTTCTGAGTGTCTTGTAGAATATCTGCAAACAGATGACAAGTTGTGCAGTTTGAATTTCCATCACTGAGTAAATAAAGTAACTGTAATTTTATAAGTGGCATCAGACAAAACTAAGTTACTACAAGCCTTGTGTTACATAGTTCATTAGCTATTTTCTAGCATATTATGGAAACTTAATCCTAGGGTGCTGTCTGCTGCGAATAGCATTGAATTTAGATGATCTAACTCTATACTCTTAGAAAAGTTGCTAATTACATGGACAGTGCATAAGGCAGAAGTGTTTCTTTAAATGACAGGATCAGACTCTTGAGATTTAATTGGGAGCCGGGAGGTCGTGGGGGTGTGTGTGTGTGCAGACGGAGAAAGGCACCAGGAACTGCATCTTTGAGCATTGTGTAATGAGTTATTGTGATCTTGTTTACTGTTATCAGGTTTTTTCTTTGTTTTTTAAATGACCTTCTGTGCCATTCCTGCACTGAACTGGCTGCCACATGATCTGGAAGTAGCAGCTGTAGATCAGTGGTCACTTGAAGTGCTGGCATTTCCCAGTCCAGTTTAGTGACACTTACTCTTCACAGTCTGAGCTGCTTTGCCCAGTCCTAATTAGAGTGTTTTGTGTAGGCAAAACATATGTACAATTGATTTCTCCCTCCCCCCAACATTTCTTCATACTTTTGTGTAAGCATGAGTAGAAATGTCTTAAGTTATTGCATTTTGTTACTGTTTTCAGTGTGTATCTTACAACGAATGGTATACAACTAGAATCACATGGCAGCTGCTTCCTTTCACTTTTAACCTCAGTGAACAGACAGCTACAGAAACAATGAAGGGTAAATGCATCGTTACTGTGTATTTGTGTATGATGTTTTAAGACAAGATTTGTATATTTTCGTTACAGTTTGGCTGTAGCTGCAATCCCTGAAGGACTCCCAATTGTGGTAACAGTGACACTGGCCCTTGGTGTGATGAGAATGGTGAAGAAACGGGCTATTGTAAAAAAATTGCCTATTGTTGAAACTTTAGGTATGACTAGATGAACTTAGAGGTAGTATTTTGATACAAATGTTAGGAAATCAACACAAATACTGATGACTAAATAAAGCAGGTATTCTTACTTGGCTAACAAAGTGGTGGTATCTTTAAAACATTTCTAAATTGAGTGCATTTTACACAGAATTCAGGTACATGTATTAGTGGACCCTCTAACTATATTTTTTTTAATTTAACTGAAACAAACAGTCTGTTAGTTAATAGCAAGCCACACTAGCAATACTTTAAACTATATGAGTGATTGGATGTATGGAGTACTCTTTATACTTGTTTGCTGTAAGATGTTCTTGTCAAATAAGACCTAAAAAGTTTTTTAAACTAAATTTTTGGTGTAAATTTAGGAATAGTACTAACACTTGGAAATAAATCCAAATTTGAGTATGAGAAAAAGCTTTGTAATTATAATGCACCTTCAGGATGTTATGCCGCTCATATTAAAACTTAAAATAATTTAAAAACATGAAAGCTTAAAAACATTCTCTACACAGTTTCAGTCATGAAACATGAAGCACAGGACATAGAAAAGAAATAGAAATACTAAGTTAAATAATTCTGCTGCATTTGAATTTCTTTTTGCATTTGAAGATTGAAAGTATATTTTCCAATGCCTCTAGCAGAGGTTCATTAGCGTTGCAAGGTTTTTTTGTTGCTTTTGCAATTCCTGCTATTGTGTCCAAAAATGTCAAGATACTCTTTCAAAATACTCTTTTCCTGACTTAGAAAAGTATAGACAAATTTTACATTTCTGTAATCTTTTCAATCTTATTAAAATTTGCAGGTTTAGTACTAAGTAACACTCATGTGACAGAAGTGTTGTAGGCTAGCTAGTTGGGTAGATGCTGCACTTTTTGCTAAAGAAGGACTGCTGTAAAGCAGGCCCTTAGCTTTCCCCCTCACCAGGAGTTGCAAATGAGATTTCAGTAATGTAGTTTGGGATACAATATAATAAAACAAAGGAGAGGTGGTGAATGAAAGCATTTCGGACAACTTGTGAATTTGGGATTTTAATTAGTTTTTTAAATTTTTTGGACAAACTTGCGAAGAACTTGACATAGCTATTCATTAATAGTTGAAAATTTGCTGTCTTTGTTAAATCCCATTTTGTTTTTTCACAAAGACAGCTGCAGTATTTCTAGAAATTTGCTTGTCTTGAATACTTTTGTTCTTGTTAGTTACATTGTTCTAAACAAACGTCGTCTTACAGATGTTAATTGGTTATTTCAGGTTGTTGCAACGTAATTTGTTCAGATAAAACTGGAACTCTGACAAAGAATGAAATGACTGTTACTCATATTTTTACTTCAGATGGGCAGCATGCTGAGGTATGTAGTGAGACTCTGTTAGACTTTAATTTTCCTTTTTACTTTGTTGTGTGTGTCAGCTGAAACACGCTCGAGTATGCTGCAGCTAAAGCATCAGTTAAGAAAGCGTAAATTTGTTGCACCAAATTTCTGTCCCTCAACTTCCAGCTAATTCTGTTCTTCAGTTCATTTAGTATTGCAGCCTTTGAGCTGTGTTATCCAAGCTATGTCTGATTATAGAAGAATTTTTTATATAATATGTTAAGTTCTTAAATCTCTTGGTGGCTGTAGATCACAATAAAAGACAGATGCTTCATAGGAAGGGAGTTTGAAGTAGGAGCAGGACGTGAAACAGTTAACAGAGGGTCTTTGATAACAGAGGTTATTGACTTTTGTAAGCACAAACGCTGGCATTTTTTCTTATTCTTTCCTGTTACTTACCTATGTTTATTGTGGTATTTATTTTTCTTTTCTTAGAATTCTATAGGAATACTGTAATTGCTTTTTCTTTACTACTAGCATAATTTGTTTACATCGGAGTCAAATCAGCTCCTTGCTCCTAACTGAAAGAGAACTTGAAATGGCTGTAAAATACATTAGCTATTAATGCTGTAGGCCTGAAGACTTTTTTGGGATCCTAGTGGGATGCCTGGTTTTTATGCTTTAAAAAATACAATTTTACTGTTTTTAACACCTCTCTGAGGTCTCAGCTGAGAGGCTGTTTAACTATGTGGGTTTTTTTAAATTTTGTTCTTACTGGATGAAAGTAGGACTCTGCTTTGTACTTCTGTGCCCCTGCAGGAGGTATACATTATTAACCAGGTTAAAGACAAATAGGAGGAAAAAATTAGAAAGCATAAAAAAAGGAGACAAAAAGAAAGCATGCCTAATACTGTAAGGAAACAACATACACGCTGCATTTATTTATGCTAAGAAATAAAATTGCTACTTTTTTGAAAAAATTAGTGTCTAATATATTTCATTGAACTCACTTGCCCTCAGAGTTTTTATTCCTTAACGTAGTACCTGCTACATTAGAAGCTGAGTGGGAGAATCCATTCACACTGACTAAAATCAATCATTATGAATATATTTTAAAATTTTTTCTGTAGTTTGTAGTAAAAAGCTGAGATTGAAACAGTTTATGAACCTGTTGAATGTTACATTGCATACTGCTGTTGGTTGTTTGTCTTGCAGGTTACTGGAGTAGGTTATAACAGGTTTGGAGAAGTGATGCTCGATGGTGAAGTTATTCATGGTTATAACAACCCATCCGTTAGCAAAATTGTTGAGGTAAGATCTTGGCACAGAGAGGTGAGTTTTAATTGATGACATAGCACAAGAGCTTTGTATGGCATTTACTTTGTGTTCTGTTTTCTGCCCTTCCTTCTCTTTTAGGCCGGTTGTGTGTGCAATGATGCTTTGATTAGAAACAACACATTAATGGGGAAGCCAACAGAAGGGGCTTTAATCGCACTTGCTATGAAGGTGTGTACTTGATGGTGCTTTTTGGATTCATGGCAGGTGGGAAGTGTGCAGAAAATAATTGTGGGGTTTTTTTTCTTTCCTCATTTCTTCTCCTTTGGGTCTCCTAGATTTGTATTGCAACTGCTCATTTCCTACGTTTCTTATCTTTTGGAACTTTTTGGGCATTCTGAAAGATGAGAGAAATTATTTAGAACTGAAGTTAAATCTTTATTTTCATCTTTTTGCACTTAGTACTGTATTTTTGCCTGCCACAAACTAATTTACCTGTTGAATATTGATTGTGCTGTCTCTTTCCCAGTTCTCATCAGAAGCAGTAAAAAGTTGATAACTGATGTATTGGTGATGGCAGCATTTATAGTGCCCTTCAAGTACGGGGCACAGGTAGTTTGAATTATGGACACTGTGATTAAATGTTTGGTTGGTTGGTTTCTTTTAATAATGCTGTGACACACTCATTAGAGCTACTGAGAAATGTGGCAAGGCATCTTAGCGCTTGCCTTTTTGGGGTTTTTTTTGGTGATGGTGAATAAACTCAAAAACATTGAAAGATGAATGCATTACAGTCTTTCGCTCCCTGTGTAACTGAGGCCTGAGATGTATCTATCTTCTTGCTGAGACTCATTCCGAGTCCCCAGTCTTTGACTGGAAAAGACAAGAGTGATGCCGTTTTGGCAAAAGCCCATAGAAACTGAGAACAGGAGTCTTTCACATCTGTTGCTGGAAAGGGAGGTAGTGAAGGAGTTGTGAAGCTCTGTAAGTACTAAGAATGGCTTATGGCAGGCTGCTGCTTCTGCATCTTCTTTAATCAACACTTTCTCTTGGACTTGGTTAAGGGTAGAGCATGGAATGCTGTGAGTTGCATCAGGGGTGGGGAGAGAACAGCATTTGAAATGAAATACATTTTGTCTGGAGTCTTCATGCTCAGTTTCAGATTAAATGTTTGGGTGATTCTGATCACTAAAAAAAAAGGTAATTTCAGGTTGGATCATTCAAACTTAAAAACAGTGACTTGCTTTCTCCAGACTTTGCCACAGTCTTGTGTTACAATTTTGTGGGCCCTCCTAGCAGAGAAATTACACAGAAGTTATTTTTAAAAAAAAAAAAAAAAAAAGCCATTGGGGTGATAGACATGTTTTGTCAAAACAAGGGCTACATTGCTAGCCATTGCTGGACTCGTGTTTGTGGGTGGTCATAATCTACAAAGTGTTTCAAGAGGCTTGGATCAAAGACAGTATATAGTGTTAAATGGTCTGACATATGCTGAAGCCTGAAAGAAGCTTCTACGTTCTTCCAGTGCTAGTTTGTCAGAAGTTTGTCTAACTGGAACAGTGTGGACAAAAGCAACTTCGGAGATGAAACTGGTTTTTGACTAAGTAATGATTGTTAATTAAGATGTCTCAACAAGTCAACAAATTGCACAGCTGTTTGAAAAGAAAAGCTCTTGATGTTGTGGTGGTACTTCTGTTTTATACAGATGGGTTTAGATGGACTCCAGGAAGACTACATAAGGAAGGCTGAATATCCCTTCAGCTCAGAACAAAAATGGATGGCTGTGAAATGTGTTCATAGAACGCAGCAGGTAAACTTCAATCGCTGTTTCCTTGTGCACTGGCTCTGTAGAATGGTTATCTACCTTGTTTAATATTTTCATTTTTCAGTTCAGAAGTTATGGCAGGCTGGTAGTAGTGCACAGTCCTAGGAATATGGTTTGATAATAGACACAGTTTTAGTTTCAAGCTTTGAAGTGGAAATGAAGAATCTCAAGAAATTCTTTCTATAAAAAGTGGGATAGTGGGAAATTATTTTAAGGATTTTGGTATCTGTGACTTTGAATGTACACCTGGCTGTTTTTTCTTCGTTCTCCTCCCTCCTCAAACATCTAAAGCAATTCTTCCAATCCTCTGCTCTTTCAGTGCTCCATAGTTACATAATGAATTAAGAGCAAGAAAATGCATTGGTCTTCAATAGTAAAATTTCTTTTGTTTGAAAACATAGGTTTTCAGGTTTTGATGTAGACAGCACATTTCCCCAGTGTTGACAGATTTTTATTGATGTCAACAGTGTCCTGGATAATCAATACAACGCATTCTTTAGCTCTTTTTCTGCCGTCTGGTACTTTCACATGCATATTTGCATTTAGACCAATCTGAATGTTTTTGTTACAAATATTGACGTAGTCACTCCCAGTGTGATAAATGGAGCCTTCTAGATAAGATGTGCAACAACAGACCTTATCTTGGATTTGTGGAAAATTTCCTAGTACTTCTGATCAAAAAAAGGCTTGCAGACAGCATTCAAGTATCACAGTAAAATCTTTGCCTTGGAAACAAAGCATTTGACTTCCTTTATCTATATGGAAAATACGGTTGTATTATCCTTGTCTTTTTATAAAGAGTGGTGAGCAGGAATTGCTATATGATTTTCATCCACGTAAGGATGAAACACTGTGTTTGTGTTTTGGTATCAGCATTTTTAAAAGATTGTTGAAAAATAGGTAACAGTTTTAAAATAAATTAGTTGAAGGCTAAGAAAACACAATGGGTTCAGAAACTTAGAGCTCTATCAGTTAAGCCTATCAGAAAGATTGATATAACTTGACTACTGTGCATAAATACCTTCACAGGGAGAAAACATATGAATTAAAAAAGAGTGATTGGAAATTGGGCTGAGGCAGCAATTCTTAATGGAAAAGGGGGGAAGGGATGAGTTGATTTAGCATTGGAGTTCAGTGCTTGAGGTAGGTGGTGGATTCTCAGTGCCTTGATACCATCAAGGCTAGATGGCTATCTGGAAAATATTAGAGTTGTTAGGCATGGTACAAGGATGCAGGTGATGTTGAATGACCTGTGCAGCTGGTCAGATGATGAGCTAAAGGTCTTCCAGGTCTAATGTTCTGTGTAGGTTTAATTTCTGTCCTTTGCATGGCCTCTTTAGTCTATAAACTGTGACTTGTAGTGTTTAATGTGTATGATGTCTACTGAAATGAGATATTGATTATTAGCTTGGCTCTTTTGACATTACTACTCTTGAACATACGCTGTATAGAGATAATCAAAAGAACAGATTTGTAGGTTTAGAAGTGTAACCTTGATTTGCATTATGTTCTGAAGACTTAAGAAAAGTACAGATACACCATTCTTATGTGTGCATGTGTATGCACTAGTGTGTGTGTGTGTGTGTATTTATATATACGTGTGCATGTGCACAGAACAAGTCATTTTCCTTTTAGGACAAACCTGAAGTGTGCTTTATGAAAGGTGCTTATGAACAAGTCATTAGGTACTGTACATCATATAACTGCAAGGGGCAGACCCTACCTCTTGTTCAGCAACAGAGAGAGCAGTACCAGCAAGAAAAGACATCTATGGGCTCTGCAGGACTTAGGGGTAAGGCTGTTTCAGTGTCTCAAAATAACAATTTTTTTAAAAAATGGCATTGCTTGTTGTTTAAAAAAACCAAGAACAACCAAAAACACTAGCAGTTTTTGTTTGTTTGTTCATTAAGTGCCACTGGCTTGTTTAGTTTTACTTAAAAATGGGGAAGTGGAAAAACAGGTGCTGTTGCCTAAGGGCTGTATAATAACATGATTAAATCGCAAAGGGTGAGAAAAGGCACTGCTGGTTCCTGTCATCTCTTGCATGTGATGGTAACTGAACAGTACATTGCTACCTAATAGTTTCCATATCTCATTATAGATGTCTGTAGATTTTTTTAAAATGTGAATGTGTTTTATTTTTGTATTACTTTGGCTCCTGGCAGCTTTGTGAATTAGGCTAGCACAACTGATTGCAGGTCAGAGGCTGCCATTAGAATTACCTTTTATGTTAACAAGGTGTGTAGATTTTTTTAAAATGTAACTGAAAGTATTTTTCACAAGACAATTGATAGGAGGCGATTGTGGGCGAGCATTGTACACAGGCTTGCTTTGGCCTCTGTAAAGAGACCTCTAGGCTGTTAAGTCCATCCACAGCTCTTCAGTTTTATTTTAAAGTAGGGGTACTATGTGGCTCAGGAAATGCTGAGGATGCAGATTATTAGAAACTGAGAAGATATGCTAGAAGCAGTATCTCTTTGCGCTGTTTTGTTCGGACAATCCTTCTTTGTGTCTGCTTCAGACCACTGTCAAACAAAAAAACCTAGGGTTATGTTTTGAGAAAAGTGAATTTGCTTTCCCCTTACACTCTAATATCATTTAAATATATTTGAATTAAGAATCCTACTGTAAAAGCCATTCCATAAAATATTTCAACATGTACTCAATGAAATCTGCCTCTCTAAAAGAAAAAAAACAAAGCAGAAAATAAAAATATGTTAACTGATCCTCTCTTTCATCCTCTTGCATAAAAGACCATGCATGTACAGAGAAACCACAGAGCTAGATGCTGTTCTCTTTGCACACAGTGAAAGTATAGACACTTTCGTCTGAGAACAAATAGGAAAGTTATCTTTAAAACCTGGAATACGTATGTTTGGTAAAAAGACTACTCTTTAGAAGAAAGCAATATATATTAGTAGACTATTCTGAATATTCAAGATAACAGACATTGCTACCAAGGTTTTAAAAGAAGAAAACTGCAATTCCTGCCCTTTGCTTTATGCTGGCCTACTAGTTTAAAACGGTTGTTTTAAATGCTGATGTACGTCTTCATTTCAAATCTTAAACTTTTTTTTCTTTGTCTCCTAAAAGTTCTGGCCTTAGCTTCTGGACCTGAGTTAGGACAACTGACTTTTTTGGGGCTTGTGGGAATAATCGATCCTCCACGGACTGGTGTAAAAGAAGCTGTTACTACACTTATCACGTCAGGAGTTGCAATAAAAATGATTACTGGAGACTCACAGGAGACTGCAGTTGCCATTGGTATGAATAGTCCACTTCCTTTCATTTTTCACTTGTTTTCTGTTTTGGCAGTGCTAGCTAATTGTTGTGAAGCGTGGGTATTAAGTCTTAAACATTCGTGAGTTCTGTGTATTGGGTTAACAGATGTCGCAGTGGAATGAGGAGGAAAACAAACCAAGACAAAACTCCAACACCCTATCCTGAAGTGATACTTTGATTTCAGCTTAAACTGCAGTTTTTCTAATTTGGTTAATGTATGGTGTTTGCTGTTTAAGACTATGTATTTTCTTACTGTATTTTGTTGTAACATATGCTTGATTTCTGATTCTTATTCTTACACCCCCAACACCACCGTCCCTACCCTCAGCTTTGGATGCCTGTCTTGCGGCGTCAGGGAGAAACTAAAATATCCAGTGACAATGAGTATTTAGGATGTATGGCACTCCAATACTATCCAATAACAGTTTTGTTCATGTAACTAAGTTTGACGTTTAAGTACTATTAATAAATACTTAAATTTTACAATAGAATACATTAAAGTACAAGTACTTTAGTCAGAGAATGAATTCTTTACATACAGGATGATGAACAAGAAGTTGACTGTGCACATAAAAAGTATAGCCCCAAACTAGCGTTACTTTCTCGGAGGGTTTTTTTCCTTACCTCCCCCATGTCATTTTTCATTTTCTGGCTTGTTATTTTTGAACTGTGAATTCTTTAGAGAGGACTGAGCTCTTGTGTTTTTATGGCACCTGACACAATGAAGTACAGAACTTTAGACCTAAAAAGTCTTAAGGAAAAAAAATACCTGATTAGAATAGACTTTGTAGCATGTGTGTGTTACTCAAGAGTTCAGATAATTTGCTCGAGTATACTGAATCAATACAGTGTTAAGATGTTCTGCTCTAGGCATTTCAAATCTGAAATGCTGCAGAAAATAGTAGGTTTAAAAAAAATAAAATTGGGTACTTAATGTTTTAAAAGGGTAAATTATTATAATACCTTTTTTATTATTTATTTCCAGCTAGTCGACTAGGATTGTATTCCAAAAATTCACAGGCAATCTCTGGAGAAGAAATAGATGACTTGGATATTCAGCAGCTTTCTCAAATAACACCAAAGGTTTGTTTTGATACACTACTTACTTAAATGCAGTAAAGGATATATTTGATATTGAGAAATGTTTTTTCCTGTAGAAAGCTAAAGTGTAACTTCTGAGATACAAATAACATAAGAGATACAGTAAATTACCAGAGGCTTTTAGTACAGAAGCACAGAAGCTGTCCCAGATCAAACAAGTATCTTTTGGTTTGACATACAACCATATGAAAATTAATTTATTTCGATTCACATGGTTACCTTTTTAGTGAGTTTATTACTTTTGTCTCTTGTAACAATTCAGTTTGGTTTTTACCTTTCAATGCCTGTATTGGAACTTTCATTTTGCCACCTCTCACTTTCAGTGAGCATCATCACCTTTTTGTATTGTTAGACCACTTTATTTCATTCAGTACCTCAGCTCATATACATATATATATATATACACACACACACATATAACACCTTACAGCTTGCATGTTCAGTCTATCCTTTTGTAATTTGTAAGAGGAGCTGTCTATCTTTAATGACTTTTTAATCGATCTGAGGTCACTGGTTGAGAATTTTGAAAGGATCTATTTATTAAGTTACTGCTTAATACTTTTTAGTTATTAAATAACTAAATGTATTAGCCAATGTCAAAGTTGTAAATGTGAAGGTATCATCAAATGTAATTGAAGTTCAGACTTGGCTATGTTGCAAAATTTACACATCAAATGCTGCTCTGTTTGCAAAAGACTGCAAAATTAGACTGCAGCACGCTTGAGTCTGATGTAAGCAAGCCAAAACCCAATATTTACAATCAAGAAATATGCATGTCAGTTTTGTATCTTTCCTTGGTGAGTCACAAAAACAAATTCAGAAAAAAAAATTGTGTGGCAAATAGTAATTTTTCGTTTATTTGGTAATACTTGTTCTTAAGGACTGTCCATCTTAAATAACTGAGATAGCTACAAATTTACCTTGTGCATGTTTGACCTGAGACCCAGTTCGTTTTCTAGGCATTTATTTAAAATCTTATTAGGAATGAATTAAAATCAACCAATAAGATTGATGTCTGTGTACAGTCTAAAGTGGTTGTTGAAGTCTAACTTCTTATCCAGCTTCTTAAAGAGGAAAACCAGACGTGAATGCTAACAGTATGGAGTTTACGGAACACTAAACTCCACGTGCTCAAATTTCAATTTATGGAGAAGACCAGAGACAAAAAAACTTCTGAAAATTAATAATTCCTTTGAAGATGAAATATTCATTAATATAGCTTTAAAACTTCAATCTGTTAATAATATGCTACATAAACTAGTAAAATTGAAATGTCCCAAGTAGCTTGCCACTAATGCTGACAAGGGAAAAGGACATTAATTGTACAGTCAGCATGACAATTGCCTGCATAAATTTAGTCAGGAAGGCCAGCAGCAAGCTGTTATAACTCAGTTGCTTCATAATTTTAGAAGGTTTTTAAATTGCATATTCTGTCTTGAAATAAATAGCACCAACTTTGTTTACCAGAAGACACTTGGAATCTTCTCTGGAATTAATGATTTCACTTTATTAAAAACACAGCTCACTGTGCTTCAACTTTAAAGCTAAGAAGAGTACAGTTGGCCTTTGATAGTATGTTTTTATCCTGTAACTTTATATAATCCAGTGCAATTCTTTACATTTCTTAAAATTTCACTGCTTCTTCATTGTGCTTTTAACAGGTTGCAGTATTTTATAGAGCCAGTCCCCGACATAAACTGAAAATTATAAAGGTATGTCTTACTAGAGGCTCAAATGCTGGACTGTTGCTATGGGTACTGTTTGTGGTGCCTTTACTTAAATTATAATGTGCTACAGTGTGTCAAGATGAAGGCAGAAATGCATTTGGTTTGAAAGTGAAGTGTATTGGAAAATACGGAAAAATGCGTAGTGCCTACAAGGGATAGGCAGCTGCTGGTAGGCAACATCATGCTTTCTTTTATGTAGGGAGCTGGGGGTTGATTGAGATTTTGTGTCACATTGCAGTTGAATTGACTAGAAACTTGAAGGAACCGTATTTCTGATACTTCTCAAAACAAGATAAAAGGGCATGAATTTCAAGCCATGTCTGAGGTAATGGTTCCATTCAGAAGTTAACGAAAGAAGGTAGCAAAGAGGGACATACTTAATGTAGCGGAACAATCAGAAAACCAACAATAAGGAGGAGTAAGTCAGAACAGTGAGACAGCTGGAACATATTGAGAGTTATAAGAGAGTGATAATGTTAAACTGTAAATAGGGTATCTTCTTTCTTTCTTTCTCTAGAGTTTTTACTTTCTCTTAAAGACAGATTTTTATGTACCCTAACTTTAAAACTTAGGCTGTCTAAATATATGAACTGAAGTTTAACCTAAAATCTTGTATAAAAATTAATTGGAATACAAACAACTGCAGCTTTTTTTTTTTTTTTTTTTTAGGATTTTACATTGGAATTGTAAGAAATTGGGGCGGGGTGGGGCGGAGGTGATGACAGCAACCTTATATCTAGAATAGTTTTATTGGATGGGTTGTTTCAATCCCTGATTTAAGGTCTTTTCCCTTGCTTTAGTCCCTGCAGAATAATGGTGCAGTAGTAGCTATGACAGGAGATGGAGTGAACGATGCTGTTGCTCTAAAGGCTGCAGATATTGGTGTAGCAATGGGACAAGCTGGAACGGATGTTTGCAAAGAAGCAGCAGATATGATCCTTGTGGATGATGATTTTCAGACAATAATGTACGTGGCATTTATGTACATACTTTGTGCTATATAGTTTTAATGAAATGTTGCCTGGGTTAAAAACAAAAGAAATTCCCTGAACTTGAAAGTGTAGCAGCTGTTAATGAGTTCTCTGCTAAGTCAGGAGAATTATCTTTATGGTGATTACCTGTATTATCCTCTTAAAAAAGAGCTGGGAAACATAATAGTACAAAGGGCAACTAAGCATTTCTGTCTTTTTAGGTATGCTAATAATATAAGAATGTATTTACCTTTTGCTACTTGGGTCTTTTACATAGATCAGACATAAGTAACAAAGGAGGTTGTGCATGTATGTGCTATAAAAGCTAACCTGTATTTCTACTTCTCCAAGTAGAATTATGGTAGTAGTGTTTTTGGAAACATCAACTGAAGTGAAATTGTGAGTCTATTAGCTGTCAGTAGGATTCATCTTCATTTAATTTCTTACTTCAGAAGCATAAATCTTATGTAAAAACGAGAGTATTTCTCTCAAGATATAAAAATTTTACAAAGTACTGTGTTTGTTTTCAGCTCTTTAAGGGAAAGGAATAGAAGCTATTTAAATATCACAGGTGAAAACAAGTTACCAACTTCTGGTAACCAGCTATTTGTTACTTGTTCTTTTTTTGTCTGGTGTACTTCAAAGAGAGCTAAACTTACCTTATTTTGAATTTGATCCATCTGACTTTTGAAGGTAGTGGTTGTTGGCAGAGCTGGACTGCTGTCTAGTGAGATAGGCTTCATTTCAAAGTTATGCATCAATCTCGGAATACTTCAGTTTGAAAGTATGATGCTTAACCTTGGGAAGAAGTGAAATGTAGAAGTACCATATAAGAAAATCTGCCTAGATAGCAGTATGTCAGAGGATGATCAGGAGTTCAAAGTTTTCCATGCTAATTCAGGCAACAGCATAGTGCTGTTGTGCAAAAACAAAAGAGAGAGGGGAATCATTTTAAGATATTCAGAAGAGTACATAGGAAGAACGTCTGTGGTAAGTACTTAACGTTACTTGGGCTTGATGAGGCTTTTGCTGGAATACTTTATCCAGTTTTGCTCTCTTCATCAGGAAAGTTCCCAGTAGGACAGTGAAAAGAATGGTGAACACTTAAGGGGGAAAAAAAAGAAGTATGCGCTTCCATAGTTTTACATCCTTCCCCCAACCCTTTTAATATTTTTGTCTTAAAAGTTACAAAAGGAATGCTGATTAATTGTTGTTCTTGGCTATTGGGAGAATGGAAGAAAGAAATAGGGTTTTTTTGCAGCAGAGTAGACTTGGTTTAGGTATTAGAAAACACATTCTCACCACTATAGTTGCGATAATGTGATAAGCGAGTTGCAACACATGCTAGAGGTTGAGAAGATGGTCTGCACATTTTTCATTCTGGTGTAGTAAGAATACATTGTCGTCTAAAGTCATGCTATATTTCTACAGTGTTGTAAAAGTGTGTGTGTTGGTTTTGTGGGTTTTTTTTAAATTATCTAACTTGAATTGGAAAGTCGCAAGGATGATGGTGAATCTTGAACAAGGAGGAGATTTTACTATTGACATTTCAGTTTGAAAAAATAGCTTGTGATTAATCTCATAGTCAAGTTGAAAAACAATGACTGCCAAAGAACCTCAGCTCCCATTTGTTTCTTGACATTTGTATTGCTGCTTAAAGTAATAGCTTTTTTGATTTGCTTTAAGCTTTTTTGGCAGTAGTCTTATTTGTCTAGTCATGTAATCTTTGTTTTTAATTGCAGGTCTGCAATCGAAGAGGGTAAAGGAATTTATAATAACATAAAAAATTTTGTTAGATTTCAGCTAAGCACGTAAGTTTGAAAAGCTGACAATGTCAGAAGGTTCTAACTACATTGTGAGTGAATCAAAGCATCGTGAAGCAGATGCTGCATAAATTCATGTGAACATTGTAAATTTCACATAGGATGCTTATATGCTATGCTTTTGAATTTTCAGTGTTTTATATTTGGTGGCTTGTTTCATTTGTAAAGAACCAGAAAACAGTGCAATAAACAGCCATCTAACTTTGTCACAGTTCTTCTTGTTAAGTGAAAAGTCAATAACTGAGAGGATGGAGAGAAACAGCATAGCTATCTTTGGGTCCTTGTTTAAAGGAGAAGTTAGTAGTCATTCCCTCCTTAACCAGAACATGTATATCAAACGGAGGAAACCAGGGAAACAGGAGGTTACTTTCTCTGTAATCCATATACTAGTTTGTGGAATGAGTTAGCTCTGTGAAGCTGACTTCCTTTTCCTTTTCTTGCATATAAGGATCTCTATGCCAACTATAAGACAAGTAAGTGTATGTAAGACAAGAAGACAGGAGTTAATTAAGCCTTAGTTTCAAAAATTTTGTGAGTTTCTCTTCTTGAATCTGGATTCAGGAATATGGTTTTCCTCTTCACCATGTTGTTCATGTACTTTTTTTGAAACCTTCATGGCATTTCAGAGTGGCTGAATGAGGTTGCAGAAATTGAAAGCCAAACAAACCACCACCACCACCAAAACCCCCACAAACGAAAAACCTACAAAGGCCAAATGCCTCCCCAAACCACTGAAAAGCCAAAAAAAAAAAAAAATCCCCACCAAAACCGCCCAACACAACAAAACCCAGAAAACACCAACCTCTTACAACTTGCATAAAAATTGTAAGAAGTGTCATATACTTTCAATCTTAACTAGTGTCCTGCATTGGTAGAAGACTAGAAGTCTGCTTCTGAAAAATAACTAAGCACAGATATTCTAGGAAAGTGTGCTTGCCTGTTGGCTTTGGGAATGGTAGCCTCAGGGTTTTGATGAATGAGTTACTCTTTTTTTTTTCTTTGCAGGGAGAGCATAATAGGGTTCAGCGGAGCGCTAAATTCAGAATTATTATAAGCCTTGCTCTCTTCTTCTTGGTTATGAAACCACTTAATCTTGCACTGAAAGCAATTAGTGCATACTTGTTTAGAGAGGTTTCTAATACTAAGCTTGCAACCAGCTAATCTGTTTTCAGCCTTTTGCCTCGCCTTCTCATCTTGCCTAATAATGAGGGGTGGTGTAGGTATTTTTAGGGAGCTTGGGTAGTACCTTGCCTTGACTGATTAGTCAAACTAGTGCAGGTGCATAGAATGGTTGTGTTTAGATCTAAAGTGTAAAAGCAGTTTGTTTTTCAAAAATATGTTTAGAAGTTCTGCTTCTGGCACAATAAAAGTATAGGACCCAGTTCGCCAGTAAAAAAAATCACTTAGGTGAAGGTGAGTGATAACTCTGAAATGTTATCTTAAAGTTTGGGAGGTTTTTAAGATGCAAATTTGCTGTCTTTTTATTGCCGAAACAATGCTCTTTTAAATGTGGACTGTGTCAAGATGAGTGTTCTAAATGAATTCGTACTCTACCTTTAAAATTAGGCTTACGTCAGTCATGATTCATGCTGTCAAAATCTGTTATCTACTCTTAAACAGTTGAAGTGTTGATTACAAAGCAGTTATCAGTGGATCTTCAGAAATGTTCCATGCTGACAGTTATAAAAATGGATTCTTTCAACAGGAGTATAGCAGCACTGACTTTAATCTCACTGGCTACATTAATGAACTTTCCTAATCCTCTCAATGCCATGCAGATTTTATGGATCAATATTATTATGGATGGACCTCCAGCTCAAAGGTAAGTAATTAAATTATGTTAGAGGTCTTTAGTCCTTTCATTTCAGCAAGGAAAATGGTTGCTCATAAAGGAAACAGTGTGAAGTGTTAAACTTCAGTGAAATGTTTCTGAAACAGCAAACTTTTTCTTTGAGTTACAATGCACCACCACAAATGTTTGCAGTGTAGTTTGATGTTCATTCCTTTTGGCTTGCTTTAGTATCTAACAATAATTATGGAGGCAGCATGGATACCTAAAGATCCACAGAAATGCACATGAAACTTGCATGCAGGAGTCTGGCTTCTCTCTGAGTTCTTCCTCTGACCCTCTTTGCTGCAGATAGGTGGTGCAGGGAGAGGTGGAAAGGAGCTAGCAGTGAATTCCTTAGCTATGTCAATCACAGTAACAGAAATGGGGAACATAACTAATATTGCAGCTTCCTTTACAATTAACATCTGGTAATTTTAATACTGTCTGATATCATGTATTTATGGACTGTCAAACTGCAGTGTTAGAATATTGCCCGTTACTGATACATGTAACTCAGTTTTCTGAAAGTGAAAATATCCTGTGCTTATTTGAATGAGATGATTCTTAGGCTGTCGAGAGAAGATTAAAATCTTTCTTTCAACTCAGAAAATCTAGTCCTTAATTTAGAAGCAGTGAATTATTTTTATGATTATAAAAATCTAAGATGTTCTTTTAATTCTAAGTCTTGGGGTGGAGCCTGTGGATAAAGATGTTATTCAGAAGCCTCCAAGAAATTTGAAGGACAGCATTCTGACCAAAAACCTGATTGTTAAAATACTGGTTTCATCAGTAATTATTGTGTGTGGAACACTGTTCGTCTTCTGGAGAGAGGTATGACAAAAGTACAAAACTTAAAGCAGTAACAAACTAATTTAAAAGAAGTCCTTTTTATACCAGCAGTTGGAATTCAGAATTTGTATGAACTTGGTTTCAAGTTTTGACCATGCTTATTTAATAATCTACTCAGCTAGCAGATTGGAGAGGAAGACTTCCAAAGTAGTTGTTGAAATGAGGAATACAGTTTTATTCCCCAGTCTCTGTTTTAACACAGACTTTTCCAGGTTCCAAATCTACTTGAGAAACCTTGGCCCATATAAAGTAATTGTACAGATCTTCTAGCCAGACTGTTACGAAACAGCCATTTGACTCTTTTCCCAGTAGAGAAAAGTGTTGTGTGAACTTTGTTGGACTTGATGATCTTAAAGGTCCTTCCCAACCTAAACGGTTCTATGATTCTAACTTTTGGTAGTGAGTCATAGAATACTTAGTATTCCATGTGCTTGCATAAATGTTTGTCAAGAGGCTTCATTTAATCACAGCTTGGAATTACAAATTGTTATAAGTTACAGGTGCGTAATTTTTGCGGTATGCTTTATTAAATCAGCTTGGGGCAAACAAGTTGCTTTTGCTTTCATTTGCTAGCTAGTAGAACTTGAATTATTGTAATAACTTCGTTTAGTTGTGGAGGGTTTAAAGCATGCTAAAGCCATTGCATTTTCTTTTGTTGGCAGTTAAGAGACAATGTAATAACGCCTCGAGATACAACCATGACTTTCACCTGTTTTGTATTTTTTGATATGTTCAATGCTTTGAGTTCTAGATCTCAGGTAAGTGATTTGTATTGTCCATTTACACAGTATTTATGCAATAAGCAGAATTTTCTTTGAGGGAGGATCTTGCTGTGTTTGCTTAAAATGTTTTCCTGCAGATTTACTTCACATCTGCTAGTAAGCTTCAGAGTTTCACATATTTACTAGGTAGGATTTCTTAAATTACAGCTAAATAGTAGGTTCCTTAATTTATTTACGTGATGCAGAGCTGGTAGTAATGCTTCTGTCCTGACAGAAGCAAGGAAATTTTTATTAAAAGTTGAAGTGTGATGGTCCTTTGTATTGCTATCTGCACTTGGTTGGTTTTTGTTTTTCCTCTGAAAGTTCTGTCAGTTCAGCATCCTTGCTGGAATCTGAAACATCTTGAAGGCCTTAACTTTTTTTATTTTGTAACCCTAAATCCATAATTCAAGGAAAATTTCTTAAACTCTTCTTTCTGTCTATATTTTTGTTTTAAGGAAACAAGTCTGAAATTTTGTGCTAGTTGGAGAAAAGCACATTGCTGGTATACATTCCTACATTTACTCTGATTTGCACTCTATTTTCTGATGTGAATTGTCAAGGTCAACAAAAACACTTCCTTCTAGTGTAGAGGGCACCTTCTATAGTGCACTGTACTTGCAGAAAAGTGAGCTCAATATACAAGTCGTTGACTATGAAGACAAGATTTGTACTCTGTTTACCAGAGAGAACATGCAATTAGCCTGTTGAAGAACTTGTTCTGGATTATCTAAAAGGTCAACAATAACTTTTTACATTTTTCCAAAAGTCTGAATGAAAAGAAATTGTAGTTACAAATTATTTTCTTGTCTAGATAATTAAGATGACATGTACAGTGTAACGTGCTGTTTATTTTACAGGCAAAATCTGTGTTTGAGATTGGACTTTGCAGTAACAAAATGTTCTGCTATGCTGTCCTTGGATCTATAATGGGGCAGTTACTGGTCATTTACTTTCCTCCACTTCAGAAGGTTTTCCAAACAGAAAGCCTGAGTGTCTTGGGTAAGAACAGTTCCCTTTCCAAAATGGTTCAGAAAGGATTAATTTGTACATATATTAGCGGATGGTTCTATAAGAGCACTTTCTGGCTATTTGCACACAACAGGAATATGAAGCCTGCTGACCTTTGATGCAGGCAAAAATGAAGCATAGACTTTATTGAAGTTTTTTAAGCACTATTAATCTTGCTATTTAGCAAGTTTTTTCTCTAAATATACACACCTTATTTAGAAGTCTTGATCCTTTATTAAATAATCAACTGCATTGTCATAGGATAAATAGACATGAGGATTTTAAGAAGCTATAGATGGGTAATGCTGTTGGCCTCATTAAGACTTGCGTTTATTACTTCTATGTTTTTCTGGAGTTAAAGATAAATGATTGTCATGAAATACATGTTTTCACATAATTCTTTTTATTGTAGTGTCATTTCTGATGATACTAATATTTTTTCGGTATAAAGTTAATTAAGTTGCTTAGTGTTCTTTGTTTTCATAGGTGTTAATAAAATAGGGTTATGAAATACTTTACAAGTTTGAAATATCATGCCTGTACTTATGATTTGTGCATAAACTATGCATGTTAATCTTCTGGTCCTGCAAAAATTGATTCTTGCTTCATTTCTCCTGAGCTTATCCAATGATAGGGAGACAATTTGAAAGTCTTGTAAGTCTTGTTCTTTTGTAAGTCTGTCTTCTGCCTTAAATAGCAAATTTTAAAAAGGCTAATTATCTCTTTCCAGATTTACTGTTTCTTCTGGGACTCACTTCCTCTGTGTGCATAGTGACAGAGATCATAAAGAAGTTTGAAAGAAGCAAGGAAAAGATCCAGAAACGCGGAAGTTCTTCTTCGTCAACTTCGTCTTTTCTTGATGTATGATGCATATTGCATTCTTTTGTTTGCAAACTTAGGGATTGCTGTCGAAAGATGTAGGAGAAAGCAAAACAATATTTGGAGGATAAAGGAATCCTGAGGGCTTTTGGCAAGTCCTTTGTTTCACACTGGCTAATGATGAACGTCATGTTTCAAGACTGTTTAGAATTTAACTTTCAGCTGTGGGAGTAACAAATGAAATTATGCAACTTTGGTAACATTTTTCCTCAACCATAAATTTACTTTTGAGATTGAACAGGATTTTTTTTTTTTTTGGGGGGGGGGGGGGGTTAATTTAAAGAAAGATCTAAGCCCAAGTCCCATTTTCTGCACTTAAAAAGATATAACTGTGTAAAATCCTTCTCTTAGATATAAATATTTTAGTTTGTTTTTATTTAAAACACTGTACTATTTTACTTTTATGGTGGTGGGACTTTGCTACTAATACAAGGATAAAAAAATTTTTCAGAGGCATTCCACTGGGTTTAGAGTCTGTCACAAGAGTGCCATATTCTAGCTACTGTATTTATTTACTTTATCCTGCAACGTGTAAGCGGCTCAAGTACCTTGTGCTACAGGTTTTTTGTATCCCGAGGTTTTTGTTTGTTTTTTTTTTTTGCACAGGATGTGACCGCTGTCAGATCACTTGTTTTTCTTTTCTTTTTCTGTGATTGAAAAGCCTATACTGCAATTTGAAGTAAATGTTTGCTTTTCTTAAAAGTGTGTTGTCTCTTTTGTTTTAAAAGAAACTGGCATTTACACCAGATTAGCATGCTTGTTTTGATAAAACTTAAGATACAAGCTTTGTTTGCTGTCTTCTTCCATATTTACTTTAGCTTCTGACCGTTAGATCACTTGAGTGATTTTAAGACAGTACTGTTATTGAAATGATTTGTAGTGTATTGAATTAGAAAATGAATGCACTAATCCTCACTCCAATGGCAAAAAACCCCTACCCCTCTTTCGAAGAAGCTTTGTTTTCCTTCCTTCTTCCACCCTGACCATAAAAAATAAACTTTTTACTGGTAGTGTAACTTAAAATTTTAACCTACAGAATGACTTTTTGTGGCTAGAAAAGCATTAGAATAGATTAGAATACTATTAAAAGTATTTTTAATATATGATAATGTCTGAATACTCTAATGTTCACTAATTGGAAATGGTGTTTTTCCTCAAAATAGACGTGCAGCTGTTGTCATCAGTGTTTTCTCATCAGAGTAGGACTCATCGTCCCTTGAGGAAATCAAGGAACAATTGCGTAGGGAATCTTGGAAAGAGGACGTCTTAAGATCTGTAGGGGGAACTGGAGATGTAATACTATCTCTTTTGCTTGAAAGTGTGTGGATACACATCTTTTGACACTGTAGCCTGAAAGGGCAGCATTGGTACTGGCTCTGGGCCATGCTGTCAGGATGGTCATCCTGTTGGGTAATGACGAATTGTCTTAAACAGGCACTGGGATATTTCTGCACTTACCTTCGTGGCTTGCCCCACGTGCCATGCTCAAAATCTGGGGAGCTCATGGAAAACAAGGCAGTTTAGAAAGTGCTGTATGAATTTCTCTGCTACGAGGTTATTTTAATTGTTCTCTTCCTTTTTTTTTTTTTTTTTTTTTTTTTTTCCCCCCTCTGGAGATTCCCAGAATTGGTCAGGAAGTGGGCCTGCAGACAGGACATGATTGCACCATTGAGTCTGCTTTGCATATGCAATTCATCCATTGCTCTGGCTGATCCTGGGCCTGCTCAGTACGCACATACTACCTGGAGTATGAATGTGCTGGAGATCTAATTGTGTAAAGGCAAAGACTGCAGCATATGGCCCTCGTCTCTTCCTGCAGGACGTTACGTGACTCACTGAGCGGGTAGGGCCTGAACAAGATGACCTCATAACAGACATGCCGTCATGTCTTTGAGCAAAAGTTTCTTATTGCTAGCAGTTCTGCCTTTCTGAAGTTGAACAGATTTGTCAGTGTTCCTCCTGTGGAACTATTACCATCTTTGGCAAGTGGGGCTGTAGTTGTTCAGTATTTCAGTACAATTTCAGAACACTTCTTAATCCTTGGTATTCTTCAGTAACGACAGATAGTTTTTACTGACAGTGCACGCTGAGGAAGAATCTCTTGAACGAACTTGGGTTTTGAGAAAGTGCAGCAACTATGTCTATCACATAGTAAGTCTTAACTACTTGTTGATATTCTTCTATGGGATTTGACTGCTTTGTGCCCTGCACTTAGTCTTGGAGTCTGAGAAATCCGGGCAAGTACAGGAGTGCAGATGAATGCCAATTTGTTGTCTTAGCTTGGAAGTGTTATTGCCTAGTCTTTAAACGCATTTTATGAAGTACCCCTTTCCCAGCACAAGTCTCACTTTCTGAATAAGGTATGGCAGTCTAGACAAGAAATAAAATTTCTGTCTCTTATGAACAATTTTGCCTTCTTGCAGGGTGAACTTATTTGAATGCAATTCACTTCAGATATGCCAGACTAAGTTTTGGTGTGTTTTCCAATGAAAGATGAAACAATAACAAGTAATCAATCTAGCTCAGTTTCATTATTTATAAAAAACGCTTGGACTGAATTCCATTGCCATTTTTATTGGCTCCACTCTTGATCGTTACCACCTAACAGCAAGTTTGAGAGATTTTTTTCAGAGCAATTGAATCCATAGTGGGATCAACAAAAAATTAAGAGGCATTTCATGTGGGGTGAAAATAAGCAGCAACCAAGGAATTTAGTTGCTCCTACTAAAGCATGGAATAAAGAACATTTCAGTTTTCATAAGTAAAGGCCCTTTATTTTTTATTTTTCCCACAAAAGAAGATTGAATACCTGTAATGTCTCAAAAAAGAAAACTGGAACACTTGATTTAAATTCTGCATAGTAACCCTAGAATCAGTAATTATTTTCTCCAGCATACAGGATTGGTGTTTGCAATGAAGTGTACTTCATTTTATCAGCAATAAAGAACAGTTGAATTCTGCGTTGAGAACACATTTCCAGGAGAGTAATCCTTCATCAAGTTAGCACTCCCAAAGGTATTCTCAAAATGCCATGTGATCACAGCAGCAGGTTTATCTGAAAGTGGAATGCTTGAGTTTATCCCAGTCTTCTGCACAATCTAATTGAAGATACTCCTTCTCAGCAAGTCTCAAGAATTTACGTTCTCCAGCAGTTTTCCGATGTGAGATTCAGCACCAACAAAATGGAATAAAACATGTCTGTATTTTTGTATTTAAGACTTATTTTAAATGTGACTATTTCTGATAATTGAAAACTATAAAGAACTGCAAGCTTGGTAAAATGAAACACATGGGGTCATAATGGATCAGGGGATGATTTGGATGAGTAAGGATTTAAATCTTAGTGACTAAAATCATGAACTTTAACTCCTTTCACCTTTAAAATAAAGTCATCTGATAGAAATGTGACTTTGTAGACTGCTGCAAATAGAAATGTATTTAGAAATGGGTTGTGAAGGTCTAGTAACTTGCTGCATGGTTGAGTGTAAATGCCATCTGCTGGTAGTTTAATAAGTAGCAGTTTTCATACTGCAAAAAACGTTAAATATTGCTATCACAGACTGTATCTCAAAAATAGTTTTCTCATTAATGTAATGGATGTTATAAATCTATTCTTTTCTCACTGAATATATTAGGGCAGTATCAACACTCAGCTGTATGATAAGAGAGATCCTTCCTGTAAGTCACAAGATCTAGTGAGTTATTTCCATGTGGATAGGGGACATAACCAGAACTGGAAAATGAGCACACAACAATGCAAGTATCAGGCTTGAATTCTGGTGAGTAATGGACAAAACTTTAGTGGTTAAAGGTGGAAATCATGATTTTCCTGAATGTAAGAAAAGGTATATGGATTCTTGAGGAGAAAGAACAGAAATGTAACAATTAGATTTCACATGGGGAAGACACTGGAAAACCAACAGTTTTATAAGAAAAGCATTTATGTAAACTGATTCATTTTACTGGAAAGTTAGCTAATACAAAGCACTGAGAAATACTGATGATGTAGGTTTTTTCTAAATCTACCTTGTTTTTCAGTATTACCATGTTGATATTAAGGGTTTGTCAAGTAACAGTGTACATGAGGCGAGTTAAACAGGTCTGTAATTTTAGTATAGCCATTAGAGAAAGAAGGGTAACTTGACTCGCAGCAGTCAATGGCAGAAGATTGTACACAATTACTCTGAATTAGCAAACCTGCAGAAACTCGATACCATGTGATAGTTTTCTGTGTGCACGTAAGCATTTAAACATACCAAAGGGGGAGGGGGAAAGAAAAGCTGAAGTCTGTCCCCAAGTATAGTTCAGTACCTATAATACCACAAGCACAACTTACTCAGTTGTCACCGAGTAAAGCTAGCTCTCCCTGAAAGTATGAATACTGTACCTGTAAAGGCTGATTCTACAATATTTTTCAACTTGTCAATTTCCATTTTAATCTGATTTTTAAGATTGTAATCACTGTGTTCTGCAAACACAAACTTAAAATAGTTCTTTTTGGAAATAAAAAGTGTTCAGGGAGATGGAGGAATAGCCAACTATAAATGTTTGGGAAAAGAATTCCTCTAAACTAGTCCAGCTCTGAAATGCCGAACAACTTTGCTCACACTTTCAATTAGACTGATACCTTTAAAGAAAAACAAAACACCACAACTTTTATACAGCACCCCTTTTATAAGAGTGTGAGTTACAAAAAAAGTAAATAAAAAAATGCCCTGAAGCAAGAATTGCTGGTAAAGACTGAATCAGGAACTTGTGTGAAAACAGCTGAGCAAATTCCAATACAGTCACATATTTTAATATAATTTCTTCCATCAACATGGCATTAAAAGTTATTCCAGGAACAATGCTTTCAGTCATCCACGCCAAGTGATGCAAACCTATTAACATTGCATAAATGCTCAGTTTCTGGTATAGCACACCCGATAGCCTTCTTTTTCTTATTAGATGCTTTCTTCTTTTTGCAGGACTCAGATTTGGTCTTGGTCGTCTTCTGAAAGAAGTCTGGAGATACAGCTGACTCCACTGTATTTAACAAAACCTGATAAAGCTGAGTCATTTTTGGAGATAAACTGAACAGATTTTCCACTGAAGGTGTTGATTTAAGCTCTTGATACAGTCTGTGCACAAGGGTCCCAGAGTAAAGCCTGCTCAAAGGAAGGAGAGAATACTCATTTAGAATCACACCTCAGCAGGACAGGTACAGAAACATGCTGCTCAATGAAAAAGCAGATCTTAACTACGTACAATATTCAACAGTGGGCTCCTAAGGGATGCCTAATCTACTCACTATTTTTCTCCATATTAGTATTTTTAAAGAAGGGAGTTTCAATGTCGTAAAATTGACCAAAGGAGTTTGACATGGAAAATAAAACAACATGTGAACATATTCTACCAGGGGCTTGTGGGGAAAGCAGATCTCCGAAACATCCCTACCTACTTAGGTCTGGCTCAGAGAGAGGAGTGCAGAGTAGCTGGTTGAGATACAATCCCATCTGAAGACAGCACTGCCACTGGCAAAAACTCTGTGCAGCATCTAAATCAAAGTCTTTATTGTGCAATTTCTTTTCTTTCCATTTTAGAAATTCATTATATGCAATATTGTCATCTTCAGCACATAAAACTGTGGTATCTAGGTTATAAATAAAAAAAAAAGACATGCAAATAAATGTTCTGCTGTGAAGAGTACAAAAGGTATCTGCAATGTATAAGGTCTTCAAACCTGCGGTTCTATTTCAGGAAGCATTAGTAATGTTTTTCAAGGGTCTCAAACTGAACTTTAAGAGATAAAATTGTGTGAAAATTCAAGTATGAATATCCATGAGAATCTGAAGTTGTGAAATCAGGAATTCTATTTGTTAGGTAATTTGCCACGCTGTTCTGCAAGTGGATCAGCTCCAAACAAGATTTCCATCTCACTCCCACCCACTTGGGAAGCAGGTGTGATACACACAGTCTAGTTTCTATAAACTAGAACCTGAAGAAACTGTATAACCCTGGCATGCGTAATCTTTGCTGTCAACTGAAGGACTCCTAGAGGAAACGCCACCGTAACTCTAACCAGGTAGAAATATACTGAAACAATTTCTGTGATAATTTAGTACTTTCAAATTCTCGCAATGTACAGGCAGATAAAGCGTGGCTGTGCAACTCAGCGTTTTTAAGTTCAGATGATTTTAGGGGAAAAAAATATCACAATGCATCAATAGTAGTTATTCTCTTTTGATGCATGAGTGTGTTAAGCTTATTTTTTGGTAACTTTTATATCTAACTTAATATTTTAGTCCTAAGGAAAGCAAATAAATGCAAATTAATGTTTTACGAGATAGCAAAGTATTGTTTTACCAATAGAAAATGTTAAATTGATGACTAGACTTTCTCTGCTTTGTGTCAATGCAGAATGTGACACCTCAGGATATAGTGTACATCAATGTTAATTCATCTGAATTAACTCACCATAAATAAGGAAAAATGAATTATGGGATAGATTTTCATAGTAGCTGAACACCTAAAATTGTATTCTTTGGAGACATACCTGGATCATTTGTTATCCGGTGAAGTTCTCCAGAGACTATCATTAGAAGTAAAGCCTTTAATTGATGCAACTTAACTTTTGGTTCTGAACGACATAGCCAGTAACACGTTACAGCAACAGGGAGTTGTAAGTGACTGGGCACAGATTCTAGGAAACTCATTTTCACTCCGAGAGTCTCCAGCAAAAGCATCTGACGGCATGACAGGGGCACCTGAAAATAAATTAAAAAATTGGAGTAGCAGAATAAAGGTAAGAGACTTTATTTGCTGTGAGCAATTTCCAAAAGGCAAATAAACTTGTGTTTAAACTAGGTAGTTCTTAATGTTTTCAATAAAAAAAATTAAGTTCCACAGATATTCTGAACAGGAAATATTTTCTAAATACTACTTAAGCTTTAAAAACTACACAGTTAAAGGTTAGGTAGAAGGATAAAAGTAATTTTTTACAATTGCCTGAGGTTAGATTTTAAGATATTTCAGTCTTCAGACCAGGTGACTTAAACTCCTATGTAAAAGTTGACTTGCTTGGAAAATCTTGTAGCCATACAGCATTAAAATTACTTTGGTGTGGTAAATGTATATAAATATATATATATATATAAAACCCCTAAAACCCCTTCATTTTGTGCCTCTTAGAAGTTACCCTTGCTTTGTGATATGTAATGGTGGTGTCTGTTCTTGATAAGTTGAATACATGCTTACCTGTAATTACAATGAAATCTTAAGTGTGAAACTTGCATTTTTCACCTGCAACGTATTAATTCCTAGCACATGTTCCCTTTTTTCTTGTGCTATTTAACTTCTAAAAAGTGGCGTTACAAACTTTGTGACTTCATGCACGCAGCAGGCTGTTCAACTCTAATTCAGGTGCTTTGTGAACCTTCGTTAGGATGGTTTTGCCTACTCTTAGGCAGACATCCCCACAACAGAAGACAAACAGAGATCAGTTTTGCCTAGAGCACTTTAAATGCAGAATAACCTTTCTTCTTCTAACCTTCTGTTGAACTGGTAATTCCCAGATATTTAGTAAGGTCAGTTATTATAATAGCGGATGCTCAAAGTCATTAAACAAACAGCATACATACCGAGACCAAATTAAGGTGTCATTAATGTTTCTGAAAATAGCAAAATGTGATTTTTCAAACTATTAAGGGTTTGCATATTGCTCGTTTAAAAGGCCTGTAACAATAGCCTATGTAAAATAATGTGCGTGTAGGCCTTTGGATCCATAGCTATCTGTAGCATTTAATGGTCGTAGTAGTGATAGACTTGGTTCTTATATGAAATAGCCACCAGCAAGTGATAAAAACACAGAGCACAGCTCCCACAAAAATGTGTTAACAGTTGATCTGAATGCCAGAACGGATAGAGCACGTGGCTTAAATATGCAGCATTAAACCACACAGATTGTATTTCCAGATGTTTCAGAAATTACTGCATACAAAGCCTCAGTTATGCAACCTTGGGAATGGGAGATTACCTTCCATTCACAGCAAGCGTTACAGTCTTAATCATCAGAATTTAAATATACAGAATAGCTAACGGTGACTGGAACTAACCTAGTACAACTTCCCTTTGATTACAGGCTGTTTTTCAGGTGCTGTTCTGTCTGGCATGCAGCAGGGGTCCACGTTAGCAGGACGCTTACTTGCAGTGCTGGGCAGCTGTAGGATTCATACACGAAACAACGGTGATTTTTAGTAAAAAACCATCGGTCAGATTTTAAGAACATTGCTCTGAAACACCTAGAGTTTGATCAAATATAAATTAAGTTTTGTAGCGTTAAATTGCACTTCTCTAAATTTCATAGAACTGAGTTCCTTCCTACAATTATAAAAGCAAGTATTAGTTAACAGAACACACAGGATGAAAGCAGGGCTTAGAATGGAAAATTTAGGCAATCCTACATATACACACAACCAGCTTTTCATATACTTTGTCTTGGTACACAGGGTGGGGGGCGGGAGTGGGAAGGGAAGAAGATAAAGGCCATCTATGTAGTTTCTCAAGTATCCCAGGCCAAGCTCAGAGCGCGGTCTGTACCTCTGTACTTAGTTACTGAGCTGGCTTCGTTCAGGCATCACATTTAGCGACCAGCTGGCAAGCGTGTGTCCCAACTATTTTTTGTCACTCGTGAAAGACTGTTAACTGTTGTGACAACCATTTACCTCCATTAACTTGTCCAAAGGAAAATGATCATCACAAAAATCTGTGGGGAGGCTTGCTGCTTGAACAAATGTTTTTTTAAGCGTCTTTTGGAGTCTGTCAAATTCACATACAACTGGCAGCTCGTTGGTCTGCTTACTCGGAGCAGCTTCAGTATTTTGAGATACTTTCAGAAGCAGTCCATAGATAACTCGTCGAATGGGCAAAGCCGTGCTATGTGCACTAGGTCTCTGCATGTTCTCCACCTGAACATGGAGGAAGGTACTTCTTAGTATTAGGGCATCGCTGATGAATGGGGCCAGCTTACCTTCCGCCAAAGCATCGAGTACCCACTGTGGTAAGTCTGCTTTCCTGGCAGCCTCACATTCATACTTTCCATTCTGAAAAAAGTCCTCGAGGTTCACGTCGGATGGAGCATAATCCTCCATTGAAGCAAACAGAAGCTCCCTTATTTCTTCTCTCTGGTGTTTCTTAAGGTGCTTCAGGACGTTGTC